GGGCTGGCGGGCCGGCGGGCCGGCGCTCACTTTGTTTCGGCCACCCTGCCCCTTTTGCAGAGCGAGCCCGTTCCCTCCCCCTCCGAGGCCTCGTCTTCCCCTCAGCTGGTGTGGCCCGGCTCTCCCCGGACTTAGAGCATGGAAAAACTGATGCTCCTTGCAGGAAAAGTTGGGCAGCCGCCGAAGTGTAGCTTGCAGTCCCCTAAGGAAGACTCGGTTGAGATTTAGTATAAAGCAGCCGCGCTCGAAGCCTCGCCTCTGCACATTAAGCTGACACTAAGAACTAGAGGGCCGAGTTCTGGAGGTCTCCTTTTGCCTCCTAAGAAGTACCGGGTTAGCGCTTTCTTCACTCATTTTTGGCTCCCCGGGGCGGGCGGGTCTGTTTAAAAAAAAAAAAAGAAAGAAAAAGAAAAAAAATCGTCTGCACCGTTGCCAGCGGTATGCTTGGGCGAACCACCAAAACGCTGGTTAATTTATGGGAATTTAACCCATCGTTGGCTCTCAACAATAACCATAGGAGATCATAGCATTTCCTTGAAGCGAGAAAGCTGAAACAGCAAGTTTGTGTGGTTAATGAGCCTTGTTTAACAGTAGAGGCTCACGTGTTCGAACATTTACTGCCAACTAGAGTTTTGCCCCTTTTGCAAGAGACTGGTGCCAGCTTCCTACCATTCACGGGCGTGCTGCTGCAAGGCTTTAAGCTTTTAGAAGCCTGAAATGTTAAATCGCAAGATGTGTTTGAATAGCCAGGAGTATTATTTACTTTAATATATATGTGGTCTGTAACCTGTATCTTTTATGGTGAATTTATGGAACTAAGATAGAATTAAATCTTTTCTCCTTGGAGGAATCATGCATGTTGGAGGTGATAGAGTATTGTAAATGTGAGCAGAGAAGCCAGTTGCTTACTTCAGTTTTTGAGCGATTGGCTTTCTTTCATTGGTGATTCAGTCATTCAGTGAGCATTTATTGCTGGCCATATAGAAGAGAATATAAAAGACGATGGATCTATTTGGTCTCTAGTTGAGGAAATAATAGAAAAATGCAAGACTAACAAGTTCTTGATTATGTAGTGCAAACTATATATAAATGCCAAGGGAATGCAAAATTAGGAATTAGTGGAAATCAGGATTAGTCAGGGAGGACTTTTTCAAGGAGCTGAATCTTGAGCCAGGTCTCCAAGAAGGTGATGGACATAGGCAGAGATGAGTCAGGAGGGTATTCCTGGCAGAGGAAGAACAGAGGGAAGGGGTGGGGAGCAGGGGATAGGAAGAGACCAATCCTCAAACTGAGGCCAAAAGTCCAACCTGGCAAGGTGATTTTCACTTTTTTCAAAATCGCTGGCAAATATTTGGCAAAATATTAGTTTGCAAGTAAATGATTGAATGTGCTCCAATTGTGAAATTCCAGTGTCCCACTTTATAATATCTTATTTATAAATCTTATTTATGTCTCACTTATAGGTGGGACTAGACACTGCTCATAAATTAGTGTTAATAAAAGAAGTAGAATTACAGATTGTGGCTTGGGCGGCGTGTATTTGAAAAATCGTTTACCTTAAACATATACTTTAAAGTTGGCCTCACTGAGCATTTGGTTATATATTCTTAGAGCCAGAATTTGAATATGGTACTGTTTATGTAGTACTTAGTGGTGATGGGCAGACATTTCAACTCTTTACACCATAGTTTTTAAAATATAGTTTTTGTTTAAATATAATTTGAAGCTGCTATTTATACCAATTAAATGAAAATCACCTAGTATTCATTAGTCTAAAATGGACCACATGTGCATTTAGAAGGAGGGTTTGCAAACGACGGCATAACATTTTACTGAATGCCTTTTTACCTAACACACAGGTTCTGCTTTATTTTCCCACTTTGGAGAAGACAAGCAGGTTTTGTCCCTATATGTTGGGGGGAGTATGAAATTGCACTTCCAAGCCAGGGGATATAAAAATAAAATTACTTAGAATAAGCAAAAATCACTGAAAACAGTGACTTAATTGAACCAGTCAAACTATTTAAAATAGAGAGCTGATGTCCCATCTAGGTAGGCCACTTTTAAAAGAGGTTTTTATGCATAGCTCTTAAAATTTTGGAACTGTATTGTCCTTTCATTAGATGTATCAAAACTTGAAAAACTGCCTAAACATAGCACAGTGATGCTCTTTTGTGGTGTGGGCAGGGAATTTCAGGCATGCCCTTGCCACCCCCAAGCCAAAGAAAGCTGTAGTCTCTGGTTGCCTGCGGTTAGGGGACTGAGTTAAAGTGTTCCTATTTATCTTATGGGTTGGTAGGGATTATTCATTTATACATCTAACATTTATTCAACTCTGCCCTGTGCCAGAAGTGGTTAGGGATACCTAATTCCTGCCCTCAGGAAGTTTGGAGTTGAGATAACAAATAAGTACAGCAAAGGGCTAAAGCAAAGGGCTGTTAACAGGACACGAAGGAGAGATCTCTAGAAGACCACAGTGGGGGTCAGAGGTTACAGTGCCTAGGAAGAGGTTGATGGAGAAGTTGAAGCATGAATCGAGCCTTCCCCTAAGAAGAGAAAGCTGCCACCAGTGAAGACATGCAAGTGAGAGACATTAAGAAGGTATTCTGCTGAGTGAGGGTAGAGTACAATTGTGGACTTTGTGGTCAAACAGGAGCTTATTTCTAGCTAGTGGTTTGTAACCCCTAGCAAGTTACTCAACCTTGCTAAACCTTAGTTTCCTCATCTGTAAAACCAGGATGGTGATAATGCCTCCCTCAAAGGTATTTTACTGGAGTACAGCAGTAAACAACAAAAAACAAAGTCTGAATGAGGAAGGTAGGACTGGGTCATGAAGGTGTGCCTTGCATTAACAAAGACACTCTCAGAATAGCCAGGATAACAAGTTGTTAAATCTAAGGCTCTATTTTACTTGAAAAGAAATACCTGATAAGAATAAGAGTTATTTTAAGTGAACAGGTTAAGAATGAGTTTGCATTTCTTGGATGCCAACATCTTTTTCTAATCTTATTGTCTTGTTTTCCTGTCATCTCTGGTATAAACCAACTTTTTTTACCCTTAAATTTTGCGTTTAGTTTCCCATACATCTGACTTTTCCTTCACACTTGCTGCTCAGAACCTTAAAACTAGCTGTTTACTGTGTACTTGTAGTTTTGGCTAGTGACTGTTAGGATTGATGTTAAAATTTGCAGATATACAGATTGTAAGCATAAAGGGTGACTACTTACCTATCAGATATCGTATGTTGAATTTATCCTGTATCCTGGGTGCTAGAAATAGGATTTATGCAGAAAGCTTCTAGAATTTATATTTTTAGGGCTTTAAAATTGGCTAAATGAACACGAATTAGATTATACATCAAAGTGTTCTGGTGAAGGTTAGGAAAAACTATATTAAGTGTCCAGTTTAAGGTTTGATATTTGAGAAAAGATCAATATTTTTGAAGCAATTCTCATTGGAATGTTGTTGGAAAATCATTTTTATTGCCTAAATATGATTTTAAAAATATTGTTATCGGATCTATTAAGAAGAAAATGGTTAAGTGTATAGAGGAAGTGGATTGGTATGAAATTTAACTTTAGAATTAAAAATAATTTTTGTATGTAGAATGGTTAGAGATTTTGAGTGTTATATATAATATGGCTCGTTGTATATGTTAGGGGACATGTAACAAATACTGCTGACATTATTAGGCTACTAAAATAAAGAAGTTACTTTGGATTCCTTCACTGCCACTTTCTTCATTGTATGTTGAATAAGTTGAGAGTCTCCTAGGGAAACATTTTACATTTTCTATGAGGCTGGTGTATATTAATTAATGTAGCTCTTCAAGGACAACTAAATTGTCAGGACATTTGTGTTTCTCTGTTCTTTTATTTAGCTAGCCTCTTTATATTTCACTTGAATGATTAGATGTGTTTATATGAGAAGCTATGTCTTTGTAACCAGATTATTTCTTATGGAGTCTCTTTCATGCTAAAATATCTTCAAATTATTATCAAAATGAGAAGTTTATTCTAATACAGAGTGGTTATGAAAATTCTAAGAACATTTTTAGAAACCATAACCAGGCTTTAATTTAGATCTCAACTGATAACTCAGTCACTTGAACTGATATAGTTCCTGTTGTGTAGACCTTCTGGGATAAAGGTTACTTTACTTTGTGATCAAATGTGTGTCTTTGTACATAAGAGATGAGGTACAGCCTGTGGCTATGGAACAGTGGTCATTTAAGGGTCCAATCACTTTCCTTGGCTAGATTAATACACTGTCCTATCTGAAAAACAAATAATGCTGCTTGTTTGCTTTTTCCACTAAATAGTATAATAATGCGTTGCATTTTTATCAGAACTTTAAAATTATCTTTGCATTTTTATCTGTATTTTTTTCATTTGACCTTTACACAGTCTTTTGAAGTGGTGGGCTGTTTATCTTTGTTTTACAGACGATTACACTGCAGTTCATTAAAGTTGAGTTACCAAAGGTCTCAGAATTTCTTTTGATTTTTAGAGGAAAATTTTTAATGTTTCCTTTGGGCAAGAGGAAAAATCTTACTTAGAATTTAAAAAGTTGTAAAGGCTCATCTTCCAGATGAGGAATTAATGACCAGAGAGGTTAAGTGGCATGTTTAATTAGTGGTGGAACTTGGACTAAAAC